TATATATATATACACACACACACACACATACATACACACACACCTTCATATACCAAGCATGGTGGCATGCACCTGCAATCCCAATACTTGAGAAGTAGAGGTAACAACAGAGCTGGAGAGATGGCTCAGTGGTTAAGAACACTGACTGCTCTTGGCAGAGGACCCAGGTTCCATTCCCAGCATCCCCATGGCGGCTAGAAACTGTCCTTAACCCCAGTTCCACAGGAAGCCGAAGCTCTCTTCTGACCTCCACAGCATTGCACGACATGGGTGCACTCACATACATGCAGGCAATACACTCATACACATAAAATAAAAATAATAAAATATTAAAAAAAAAAAAAAAGACAACAGACCAGGCATGAGCGCACAACTTTAATCTTAATACTTGGGAGCCAGAGGCAGGCAGACCTCTGTGAGTTCAAGGCCAGCCTGGTCTACATACGGAGATCAGACCATCTGAAGCTACAGGGAGACCCTGTCTCAAAAAGATGAAAAAAAAACAAAACAAGCAACCAAAACATATAATTAAATAATCACATGAATTTAAGGCTACATCTCATACCTGTGAGAAGAAGAGAAAGTAGCACATGATTTCATATCCAAGGATGGATCCGAAAGATCTAATTCAAATATCTCAAGGGAAGCATTGGTACTAAATGTTGCATCCAATTGCTGAGCAGATGTTCCTACAGAAAATACATTTATGGTAACTACATATGCAAAAATAAAAGGCTGGTGGAAAGCAGTATGAAACAGAAATTAAAAGCATGCTTCTCAATGACTCACGAATGGCATTTATGGCTGAAATCTCGGACATATTCCACTGAGTATATGCTTAAGTTACTACAGCTAGGAGACAATGCTTTTAAGAGCGAAAAGTAGACATAATTTTTTAAGACTGCAGGTATCTTAAAAGCTCTCTACAGAAACAGTCCTATGCTCTATATCTGCTTAGAGTCATATACAGTGTAACTCTATTTAAATAAAAATGCTTCCATCAAGTTTGGTCTTCATTCACTTGAAGTTTCTTTTTCGTCCACTATTCTTTCTACTGGTGGACTAAAGATCAACACAATTCCTGCACAGTAGGGGATATATACATATATATATATTATATATATATATATATATGGCACATCATGGTCAATGCTGTGGCACACAGGCACTATGGAAGCATGGAGGAAGCTCATCCAGTACAGAGAAAGTTCACCGAATTTGAGTGAGAGGGAAGATGGAGACATCTTGCTGGGAATGAAATTTTTCAGAAGAAATGAAGCTTGAACAGAAGTTTAAAATTCAAGTATGAATAAGCAGACATAGAGAAGAATGAGGTTAATCACACTATCTTCTCTTCTGAACTTACCTGTGGCTAGGTAAACGGGGTGGTTCTGGGCAGGGCTCCATGCCTGCATAGCTGTACGATCTATTTCCTTTAACTTCATTCTGCTAAAAGAAACATTTCACAGAGAAATACACTGAGAATGTAACATAGAATATAGAAAATTATTTTATATACAAACATACTAAATAAACCATTATGATATTAATAATATCCAAGGACCATAATTCAACTTTGTGTCATTTGCTGGAAATGTTCAGTATCAGAAAATAAACTGTGAAAGTATTTTTACACAGATACCCTAGCCTTTAAAAAAAAATTTATTCTTATATTTTGTGTATATGCCCACATGTATCTAAATAGATCATGTACCTACAGTGCCTTCACAGGCCAGAGGAGGGTGTTGAATCCCTGGTACTGGAATTATAGGTGGTTGTGAGCCACCATGTGAGTGCTGGGGACTGATTTCAGGTGCTCTGCAGGAGCCACAAGTGCTAACTGCCGAGCCTTTTCTCCAGCCCCAGTACAATTCTTGAGGTATTAACCATCAGCTTTTGTTTGGGGAGGGGGGGGGGGGACAGTGTCTTCCTATGCAGCCCTGACTGGCCTGGAACTTACTCTGTAATAGACCAGGCTGGCCTGAAACACACAAAGAACCCCCCTGCCTCTGCCTCCCAATTACTGGGTTAAAAGCATGTACAACCAGGCCCAACCCTGTTACTCTAATACTTTACAGATTATACAGATTGAATATCCTTTATCTAAAATGCCATAAATACTTTCAATTTCAGTTATGATATTGGAATATATGCTAGACTTTATTGGCTGAGCATCCATATCCCCAAAATCTAAAATGCTGCAATCCCAGTGACTAGCAGGGACAGAGGCAGGTGGATCTCTATGAGTGCAAGGCCAGCCTGGTCTACATATCTAGCTCCAGGTGAGTCAGGGATACACAGTAAAATTCTGTCTCAAAAACCATAATAATAACAAAATAAATAAAATGCTTCAAAATCTGAAACTCTTAAGATGTTTCAATTAAGTGTGCTCAACTTACATTCCTTCAGTTGAAAAAACAATCCGTAAAATTATCCAAAAAAAGGAATGTAAGGGAATTAACTTTATTACACATGTGCTTCCCAAACCTATCAATGAGAGTATACCAGGGGCAGGAGAAGCCCTGATAAATGAGATGCATCTTCCTGGAGTAGGATTCCTCAATGTTAAGAGCAGTTTTAAAAATATTTTTTCACAGTCAGGTGTGTGGTAGCTCATGCCTGTAATCTCAGGACTCAGAAGGGTGAAGGAGGATTATACAGCGTTCATCGCCAGCCTGGGCTATGCAATGAGTTCCAGGGAAGCCTAGGTCACAAGGGTGTAAACTTACCTCATTAAAATAAAATAATTAATTAAATAAATACATATAATAGATTTTAAGCCAGATGTGGCAATGCACACTTAAAATTCTAGCACATGGAGAGGCTGAAGTAGGAAAACTGAAACCTTGAGTCCAGCCTAGCTTATATGGGAGATCCTGAATAAAATAATGATAATAACATTTTTAAACTGAGACTTACTACAGATTTTAAGATAAAGCAGAAATCTTTAGAAAATTGGTCACTTCAGTATTTAAAACCGTATGTCATTTGTTGACATATTCTCAGTAAAGTTGCTCTGACAGAAAAATTCAGGAGATATTATGCTACATTTTCTTCATGTTTCTGTTACTCTTATATAATTTTCCAGACAAAAGTATTTCACTGTAAAGTATATCACAGTTTAATTATCTACAAAGTCTGTTCTTTGCTATTTTCACAAACAACCCTCAAATAAATGGCTATATGTACATGTTATTCCATTCATGGACCAGAATGACCATAAATTTCCAGAAGTAAAACTGCTAGATTAAAAGATAAATGCCAGGGTTGGAGATATGCCTTAGTGAGTAAGAGCCTGTATTGCTCTTCCGGAACAGCTGAGTAGTTAGGTTCCCAGCAACTATGTCAGGTGCTTGTAACTCCAGCTCCAGGAGGAGCCAATGCCTTCTACTAGCTTCCACAGGCACTGCACTGAAGTGCACAAACCCCACCAGACACACACACACACACACACACACACACACACACACACACAGAGCCAGACAGTATGCCTTTAATCCCAGCAGAAGCAGGGGGATCTCTGTAAATTGGTGAACAACCTAGCTTACACAGCAACTGCTGGGCCAGTATGCTACATAGTGAGACCCTGTCTCAAAACAAAACTACTACCAAAATAATAATAATAAATAAAAATTAAAAAGGCACATTTCATTTTAATTTTTTGAGTATCAAGTTGCTTTCTGTGGTAAGAGCATCTTTTGACACTCTAAGCAACATGATTACCTGCTGCTTTAAAGCCTGACAAGAGTGAAATGTCACACTTTTAGATTTTTACCAATAGGCAAAAAAATGTTAGCTCTGTAGTTATGATCTGTATTTGTCATTCTACAAACGATGCCTGTTGTCTCTTTATACAACTGTGATTCATATACATTCCTTTGTCACCTTTTCTGTCTGTTCATATCAGTTGCCCACTTTTCTTTTTCTTTCCTGGTTGTTTTGGTTTTGTTGTTGTTGGTTTTTTTTGTGTGTGTGCTAGAGATTGAACCAGGGCCTTCTACTACTACTAAGATGCATCCCCCAGCCCCTAATTTTAAAATCAGACTGTCACGCAGAACATGGTGGCACAGACCTTTAATCCCAGCACTCAGGAGGCAGAGAAAGTGGATCTTTGTGAGTTTCAGGTCAGCCAGGGCTACACAGTGAGACCCTGTCTCAAAAAAAACAAAAAAACCTAAATAAATAAATGTTAGATTGTCAAATTTAATCTTTTGCCTTTACTTACATAATTTTGATGTTTTCAAAATAGGTTTTATGGGCCAGGCGTGGTGGCACACACCTTTAATCCCAACACTTGGGAGGCAGAGGCATGCGGATCTTTGTGAGTTCGAGGCCAGCCTGGTCTACATAGTGAGTTCCAGGACAGCTGGGGTTACAAGGAGACCCTGTCTCAAAAAAGACCAAAAAAAAAAAAAAGTTTTATGTTTCAGAGCAGTTTTAGGTTTGTAGAAATAAATAGTACAAAGTACAGTTACCACAACTGCCCCTTCCCTTAGTCACACAACCCCTTCTCCCCTAACACCCCAGTACACCTGTCCCAATCCAAGAGCCAACAGTGCCTCAAGAGTTTACATTAGGGTTCACACTCAGTATATACACTGCATGGTTCTGACAAATGTAGAATGAGGTGTATCTATCATTATAATATCCTACAGGGTAGTTTCCCTAATCCAGAGTCTGTGTTCTGCCTCCCCTCTTCTCTCCCTCCCTCCCTGTATATATGGAGCAAGCCTACATAATGAATTTTTGTGAACTGTCCAGGGATCTAAAGACAGTGTGCTCTGTTTCTTAGGATCCAGAGTAACATGTTAACCAAACATTTCTTATCTAAACGCTTATGTCTTTTATAACTTTATTTTGGTTATCTTGATCTATCTTGAATTAGAGCAAAGAATCAAAATTCTCCTACTATCAATGTATTAATGTGTATGTCTATTTCTCCTGGCATTTCCTGAAACCTCAACTTCATGAAAGTTACTTCCTCAACACAAAGTTATTTAGCACATATTCATACTAATAAGTATTTAGTGTCAAATATAATCTTTAGCCTTATGAAGCATTCTAGTCTCAAATTAAATCTTTTAACCTGAAAGCAATTGTGACTTTTTTTGTTTTGTTTTGAGACAGTCTCCCTAGCTGGCCTAGAACTCACTATGTAGACCAAGCTGGCCTTGAACTCACAAAGATCCACCTGCCTCTGCTTCCTGAGTGCTGGGATTAAAGGCGTGTGCCACGACGTCCTGCAGGCAACTATGTCTTATACTAAGATCAATATCTAGGTTTTGTAGTTTGAGACCAGGACTCACCATACTGCCAGGTTGGTCTGAGATTCAATGATCCTCCTGCCTCAGCCTCCCAAGTGCTGGAACTACGGGTATATACTGTCACATCTGGTTTTCTAGCCTTAAAAAAATTCCCTTACAGCTGGGCATGGTGGCACTTGCCTTTAATCTCAGCACTTGGGATGCAGAGGCAGGCAGATCTCTATGAGTTCAAGGCCAGCCTGGTCTACATAGTGAGTTCTAGGCCAGCTGGGGCTACAGGAAGACCCTGTCTCAAAAACGACCAAAAAAAAAAAAAAAATTCCCTTACATGTACACTTTTAGACCTCTGAACCACTTTGATTTCATTAGCTATTTTGCACATAGTAAAAGAAAATCAAATTTCGTATGATGAGATGATCTGAAGTTTTCTTTTTTTCTTTATAATTTTTATTTATTTCCGTGTATGAGTGTTTTGCCTGCAAGTATGCAAGTGTACCACATGCATGTAATGCCTGTGGAGGCCATAAGAGGGTGTTTTGGATCTCCTGGAGCTGGAGTTACACCCGGTTGTTAGCTGCCTTACAGGTGCTGGAAAGAGAACTCAGGTCCTCCTGCAAGAGCAATTAGTACTCATAACCACTGAGTCATCCCTGCAGCCCCAGATCTGAAGTTTTTTAATTGGCTAGCTTAAGTCATTTAAAATTTATTGATATCAAAAATGTGGTTGATCTTAATCCATCACACTTTGCTGTTTAGGTTTTGTGTGTATGTATATGTGTGTATGCATGTAAATGCATGTTTCTAAGGATGTACCTGTGTGTACATGTATGTGCAGAGGCGAGAGGTCAACCTCAGGTGTTGTTCCTCAGGATAAATCCACCTTACTTTTAAAGACAGGGTCTCTCAATGCCCTGTAGCTCACCAATTTAGCTAGACTGTCTAGCAAGTGAACCCCAGATATCTGCCTGTCTCCACCTCCCCAGCACTAGGATTCTAAGTACCCATACCATCACAACCAGCTTTGCTATTTGGTTTTGTAATTTATAAAGTATTCTGCTACTGTCCATTCTCTTTTAGTGTAATTTTTGTCTTAATAAATATTTCTGGTTCTACTTTTATAATTTTAAATAATTTTGTTGAATAACATAAATCCCCAATTTCTTAAGGTTTATTTTTATTATTTTT